TGCCCTGGAAATGTTCATGTTGCACAGATTGCAATTACAATTTTTGCTGTCATGTCCAAACTGCTAATATGATTTCATATGATGCTGGACATGTGCAGTAATAGTTAATATTTCATGCCTACAATGATACCCTTATTGTTGATGCATCATTCTGATATCCAGCAAGAGCATTTCGATATTCCCATGGTTACTAATGATAGCAACCAGTAATATCAGTGGTTCCTACATAAAGCATTTTTATTATTGAATGTTGACCAGATTCTAGTAAACAGTCGGCCGTTTTGGTCAATCTAGACTTTGAGGCCTAAGTTCATCCACTGTTTTTGTCCTATCTAAGCTCCAAAACACCTGAGATGTGCTGAGATTTGGCATAAAGTGAAACAAAAACATGTCTACGTACTGCAAACTTTTGTCTCAGGGTGTTCCACTGCCATGCTTCAAATCCAGAGGTCAGTCATACCTACTTTTTGACTGAAAAGATACGTTTTTTTTTGCACTCAGGAACAATCATAGCTCAGGGAGGTTAACCCTCTGGGGTCCACTCACCAGCAGGTCAAATTCGAATCAAATTCAATTTTATATCTGATTATATATCTTTGTGATAATCCAGCACAGAAATGCAGTTCAAACATTTCCTTAATCTGTAGAGTCACCTTTTCCATTCCATCTTATCACAAGATCATACGTGACTCACATCTGGAGTTATGAGGCTATAGGAAAGGACAATATGCAAAAATTGAGGAAATGTCCACCAGAGGGTTATAGGAACGTTCAATTGTTTCAAAGATCTGTAGCATACCAACAATTACAATGAACAGCAATAAGTACTTAAAAGAGAACACAGAACCTGTTGACTCAAAGCACTTATCGTTGCTTTTGGAACAAAACCCGTATTGTCATTTTTCAGTTTTTGACATAATTTGAAAACGTCTGTTGCCCTTTACATGGTGTATACATTTTTTTGATGAATGGACCAGTAGAAATGGCCCACAATGACCTGGAAAAAAGTCTGGTTCCATTGACTTACAATAAAAGTAAAGTGTGTTTTTTCCTCCTCCTGTAAAGTTATCATTTTGGAGATACAAGGTTTTGTTCTGACAGCAGAACAATCATTTCACACCATGCATGATTCTTTTGGTCATAAAAAAAAAGGAATGCAATTTTTAACATAGTGGGATGTTGACACCAAATCTGATGTGTATAACAAGAAAGAAAAAAGAAACGGATTCCTTGAGAAACAGCGATGATTAATTCATCATTTTTCTTTTAAGCACTGTACTAAACAGCACACACTGAGTTCATCTGCTTCTATTCAAGCTCTGCTTCGGCTTATTGCTGATCTCTTTTAAACACTGCAAAAAATGGCATCTTGTCAAGTGAAATGCTTTTAAATCTAGTTGAAATATCTAATATTTCCCATTTCCTGGTTGTGCACTTATTATACGATTATCTAATTTATTTCCAGAATTTTTTTACTTGTTTTAGGTGATTCCAATTAAAATTATCTCACTATATGGGCAGATAATTTTCCTGGTTTCAAGCACATTTCTTAAAACACGCAAAATTATCTGCCAATATAGTGAGATAATTTTACTTAATGCAATCACTTATAACATGTAAAAATATTTAGAAATAAGTTAAATAATCTTAAAATTACAACAATTTCAACAGGAAAAATAATAGATTTATTGACTAGATTTAATATAAATTTACTTGACAAGTTACCATTCTTTGCAGTGAAGGAGCGTTCATTAGCAAGGAAAGCTAATAGTTCTTCATGGTCATGAACAGATTAAACTGCACCTAGATAAACTAAAAAAAGCCTACATACAGTCGGTCTAAGGTACTTACTATCATTCTCCACCCTGTTGGCTGTGGTCCACCAAATATTTTCTTTTACATCTGAGTTTTTATAGTCAGCGTGTTTCTTGTTGCATAAGCTGTTGTGCTCTGCTAGATGCAAGATGAGTTCTGCTGCCATCCTGATGCTAATTTATTTGGGCTGTAACCATAACAACAGAGCTCTATTTGGTCAGCCTGATTTTTAAAGCACCTGTAAAAATCAGCCTTGGTGTTAAAAGGCCTTAATTTTCCAGAGGGAAGAATTTGTGGTGAAGACCATTTTGACTGGAAATTAAATAAGCGACTAGGGCGGTCTTAGACTTTCTGCACAGAAGTATATTTTGTTGTATTACTCAGACTTCATGTAAATGATCAGGTAGTTTAGATTCTTACACAGTTATAAGTTGTGAATATAAATGTATTCACAACTTCGAGTGATGTGTCAAACTGTGTTGAGTCAGAAGTACTGATCTGGGGTCAGTTTGGCCTTCCGTGACCTGACGTAAAGAATATATATATATATATATATATATATACACACAGTGATACACAGTTTATTTCAGATTAGCTTTACAGATACACATGGGCCTCTTTCCAATTAAAGAAAATTAAATAAACTGTAATTTCATTTGGCAGAGGAACCTGTATCATCACAATAACATTCACAGTCACCTGACCAAAGATGGACAGACAAGAGGTATACCATAACATTGCACAAGTATATTAAATATAACATAGACATAACATAAGTCTTAGATTTGAGGCTTGGTTGAAAAGAGTCCCTAAGAATGATTCCTTTGAGAATTCATCTCAGGTTCTCAGTCCCTGCACTTGGGATGCATAGCCATAAAAGGAGAAGAAGAAGGATAGTAGACGATTCTGCCTGCTAAAGGTTTGGAATCACCGCTCAGAAGTTTGGTATCAGTATCAATATAACACTTATTTTATTGCAGATTTGTATGAAATTGTTGTAATATGATACTGCTATTATGCTACTTCATCAACAAGGAAAGGTAAAACGAAAGCATTCTAGAATGATGAAAAAAGTTGTATATGATTCCATAACAATTAAAAAGCTTTACACATTATAATGAAATCAATATCCAGAAGAGATTTGAAAAACAGAATCAAAACTCAAGGTGGGCATTTTAATATGAATTGAAACAGTTTTATTTTGCCAATTTTTTTAAAAATATGCATAAACATATACACCTATTGATATCTAGATGAAATTATTATTTTATTCATTATTAATATTAAATCAATATTATATATGTAATTCCTGACTTAGATGACAAAAACTAACACTTTATAATAACAGGTCCAAATAAATAGCAAGATAAAAACATTCTTCAGTAAAAGCCTTCACAAGTTCTGTAAAATTTAAATAAATCTGTAATATTTTGTTTATTTTTATTTAATAAAATCCTAATGCCTGAATTTTAACTCCGGAATTACTGCAGTAACACTCATATTCCATTGCTTAGTTTTGGTTGGAAACAAAATTGTCCAGTCAGGATTTTTTTTTTCTGCTGTTTATAGGTAGATACAGCCAAGCTCTCCCATTGGTTAGGACTTTAGAACATACTACTGGAATCCCATAGGGGTGCTAGCAGAAAGTAGCATTATCATTTTCTTTCCCTACTTTTTGACCATGTTTTGATATTTGTAGCCTGACCTTCAGCCAGACCTACAGTAGTCACTGATGACCGCTGTTGTGATAAATAAGTGGATCTTTATTTAGGTCTGTTACTATGAAGTGATAGATATTTTAAAATATTTTGTCGCTATAGTACAACTGTGGTTCCTGAGGAGAAATTATTACTAACAAACGGTTGCTGTTTTGCAAAAACATTGTATATCCATTTTTTATTATTTTGATCTTTTTGCATAATTTGAAGGCTCCCGTTACTCTTTGCTTGTGTTAAAATGTCATGTCAAAATTCAAATTACTTGGGAAAAAAATGTATTAAAATAGACATAATGTGCATTTTTATATCTGCACATATATTTTCATTTATATCAACGTGCATTTTATATGTTAAGGATATAAAGGATATAAGTTAGTTTTATCAAAGCTTTTATTTTTTTAAATTTTTTTCTATTTCAGTTATTGAAACTGTGCTGGTCTGGTTGCACCAGCTGACTTACTGGTTGTGCCACCTGACTTTTCAGACTAATTTCAAATTAAAGAGGTATCTACTTAGACACCCATAGGAACCTTTGTCCTTGAACTTGAGTTTATATTTACAATTTCTTCGAGCCGCCTGACATGATAAACTGAACTGTTCTAACCACAGCTCAAAAATCACATTTTTTCCAAATTTTTAAAAAGAGAATACTGACTTTGGCCTTGCAGTATAAAGGTTACTTGGGGTCTTCTTTATGATGCAGTACTCTGGCCCTTCTTTTGTAAAAGCATGTCCAAATAAAAGTTCTTTATTTTCGGTTGTGCCACCTGACATTTGAGAAACTAAGAACTTGTAGATAAAGGTTTTTTTTAATGAGTTGAGCACTTTTAAAGTTGCCTTATCTTACAACAGGGATTTTATTTACAAATGTAAAATCATGCCAACTTTATACAATTAAATTATCTTTTTTTGATAGTTTACTCATTCAACACATATAATTGCATCACCTGACATTTTTAGACTTTTGGAGGCAAAAATAAATAGATTGAATTTCAATGGATGCACCAAAAAATTGGTTCACATGAAAGAGGTATTATTATATATTATATTATTATATATTATTTACTATATTATTATATATTATTATATATCATTTGGAAAATTATCGTCTTGGACACAAAAAAAAATGCACGTCATGTCAATGACCCATTTCAGAACTTGCTGTTTCTCAAGTACTTGAAATGCTGAAAAAAAAAGTTTAAATATTTGGTTTATATTTTTGGTTTATATTGTATATTTATGAGTTATTAAATATCCAGAAGTATTATGGTAGGTGATTCCAAAATTGTGAGCGGTATTGTAACTAACTGACTGCATGTGCATCAGAAACTGACCTTCTGAATGCATCCACAGACAGGAAAGCGCAGAACAGATGGAGAATCTCCCAAAGCTCATTTGAATGGCAGATGCACCTCCGTTTTGTAGACCAGGAACTGCCTGATGCATTGGTATGGTTGTGTACGTGTCTGTTCGATCCAAGCAAACCAATGCCATCAAAATTCCAAAACATTTACGCAGTCGCTCACAAGATAACAGGCCAAAAGCTCTATGCCTGTGTTTGTTCACTGGTTTGCTTTATACTGATATATCTGGCAGTATCAAAATATTTGAGGCATATTTCTTCCTGCAAGTAGGTGGGATGGCTCTCTATACAGAATCCAAAAAATAACCCCCTCCTGTCATCTCTCCTTTCATTTCTGTACAAATCCCACCTGTTTCTTTTTTTTGTTTTGTTCAAACTCTCAAAACTGTCTCTCCAGTTTGTCCTCGCTCTAAAGAAAGTCACTCTGCATCTCATTGGACAGCTGGCTGACCACCACCTCACTATGAGTGGATCCGGTAAGGATCAGCACTGTTCTTTGCGGAGTAGCGTCCATGCATTGACCTTTGCTACCGTCTGGACAGTGCCTGCAGGTCCGGTGGCTTTCATAAAGTCCATTGGAGAGCCGGGTGGAGTGGCACTCCTCTTTGCTGTGCTGCAAAGAATGGCACATGCTCTTCTGCGCCACCTCCGACCGGCACAAGCACGGGCACAAAGTCCGCTTGCACTTGGCGATGTCCCTGCAGAGGGACTTGCGGAAGTTGGGCTTGAAGCCCAGGTAGACCATGGGGTTGTAAAGGGTGGAGGACTTAGCGAATATGGCTGCAATGGCAAACGCTACAGGAGGGACCATGTTTGGATTTACGAAGGCTGCCCACATGGACACGGCAGCGTACGGACTCCATGCCACCAGGAAGCCTATGCACACTGCCACGGAGAGCTGCATGGTGTAAACACAGCAAGATAGATATATCAATACATGGACCAGTTCAAAAATGGCTAACACATTAGACTGAGTGACAATAGATGATCAGAACCTGTTTTTCCAAGTCTAAAATTGAAAAGTCTAAAAAGAAAGAATGCAGAATGGAGAAAGAGACAAGAAGAATATTGTGACAAACTGCTTCAGTCTTACCAGCTCTTCAGTAACGCCACTAGAAAACCTTGCAACATAATTTTTATTGTTAAGTTTTAAAAAAAAAATAGCTCAATGAAAAAAACTAACATTGCAAACAATGAAAGTGTTCTTTATTAGTGTATGTAACATGATTGATTGAGCTTTTCCATTCCAAGAATGGTAAAAAAAAAAAAGTTAAATTTCTGCATTTGTATTAAGGTGCAATCTATGCTGTTTTCTATTTCTATTTTATTATTATTATTATTATTATTATTATTATTATTATTTTAGATATTTCAGTGATTCCACTAATAACATACACCTTCATAAACTATATGGACAAAAGTATTAGGATACCTACACATTACACCTAACGCAAAGCAACAGAATAACTGTTATATTCTACATATATTTATAAGCAATAAAGCTTATAGCCACCAATTTGATTTGATGTGATATTTTCTAAATTTAGTACCAGTACCCAGGTGGTGGGCAATGTTTACAGTGGGGTGTTTACAGTGTGGGGGTGGGGTGTTTAAAGTGTGGACCTGCCACCATTGAGAGAACACTGTATCTTTTACAATGGACTGCTTCTTTTCTTATTCCTAAATATTTATTTATTCACACAGGCACATGAATTTGTGTTTTTTGTATTTTAATGTATTAATGTTAAAATGTTGACTGTGACATGTCACATGAATGTTTTGAATATTTTGTCAACAATGTAATGACATTGATAAGTTTCTAACAGCTATTGGTTGCAATGACACACAGATACAAGGTTCTCTTATGACAGTGATGTGATGCTAATGTTACTTTACCAAGGTTTAAGAACCGCACCTTCGCAATGAGGGTTTGAGCGTTGACAATTTTGTTCTGCGGGGAGACGTGCTGTTGCACAGCCTGCTGGGACCCCCGCACTGTCATGAGGATAAAGGCATAGGAGAGGAAGATGATGGTGCAGGGCACAATGTAGCAGAAGAAGAAGAGGCAGATGATGTAGGACATGGCAGGCGGGCTGTGGTAGGGGGCATACCAGTCGATACAGCAGGCCGTCCCGTATGGCTCAGAGCCGTACTGACCCCAGCCGGACAGAGGGCCCACCGCAAAAATGCCAGAATAACACCAGACCCCCACCACCAACAGCAGGGCATGGGACGAGGAGAACTTGTTACCTTGGGGTGAAGAGAGAAAGAGAGATAATAAAAATAATAATAATAACTATAAGTATGCAAAAGATCTGTAGCTGTAGTTGACTAAAAAGGGTTCCTTTACAAAAAAGTTACTTCTATAGGTTTATAGCATTGACAATCATATCTCAAAACACATAGTTTGACAAGAATTTACTACAAATAGACAATATAATATAGAACCAACATCAACAAATGTTGCTGTTATTAATGGTTGGCTGTCAGCAGAAACTTTTTTTTTGTTTTTTTTTCCCCCAATTTTCTTCCTAATTTAGTTGTATCCAATTCCACCTACTAGTTAGGACTCCCCCAGTCACATGATACCACCAGTGCTAAGAGGACAAAGGGTAGCACAGGCTTCCTCTTAGACCTGTGAAGCACCACCACGTCTTTAGAACTGCCACTCACACAACATCATTGGACAGCTGAATGTGCTCGGAGGTAAAGCACCAACTACCAGTTCTGTTATGTCAGCTAACAGATGCCTGCACTGACTAGTATTGCATTGAGTGATGGAAGGGGGACAGTGGCCATCCTACCCACCCAGAGAGCAAGGCAGATGGCTGTAGTGTCACCAGGGGTCGAGCTCGCGATCTCCTGATCTCCTCAATGCTTAGATGATTGCGCCACTCAAAAACTTTTTTAGATGTCGCTGGCCCAAACTGAAGGCCTTGCTCCAATAGTGATGGGTCACCACTGCCAATTAGCAACCAACTGTCACCAAAAACTCAGTATGTTTATTAGTGCAGATGCTAATACTGGAACTGAAGGCGTTTCTAATGACCTCATTTAGTGCCTCCACCAGTAATTTCGTTATCTTTTTAATGCAGCCTTCAAATGCTTCAAATCCACTCTCCTGCTCCCTAAAAGCTTTTGGGTTGAAGGAACTACATCTCATTTCAAACTTCACTCTTTTCATACTGGCTTCAGTCAGAAGTCAGAATATCATACTGCTTATGTCACTCAAATGTCATACTCCAGTTAGCTTATATGGCACGAGTTAAGAACGGATGATATATCTAGACAGTTGCATGTTGTTGTGCATATATTTAGATATGAATAGCAACCAAGGGTTACGTCTTCTGAGGAGACAGATATCGTCCAATTCCATGGAGCTTAATGCAGAGTCCATGGCCCAAGAGAATTGGAATGTTATGCAATCCTTCTTTCCACCTTCACACTGAACTGGGCCTCAAACCATTCTTATTTTATGGGATGTAATTACTGTCTCTCCACAGGGTTTGGGGTTTCTTGCTTGCTTGCCTCAGGCTGTGCTCGTAAAAATATCAGAGTTATGAGCATCAGTTAAAAAGCACAGCTGCAGAGTCGCATTTAGCAAGAGTAGAACTAGGTTTTGTGGAAATGATGGCTTAGTCCCTGTTCTCCCTTTATAGTCATGCTAATGGTTGGGATGTGGCATTCTCAGAGTCAACAGGTATAAACACAGGTATACACTAGACCAGGGGTCAGCAACATGTGGCTTAGGAGCCCTGTTGTGGCTCCACAGCAGAATTAGATTTACAGGTAAAAATAAAATAATCCTCCTTCGCAGTAGAATAAAGCTCTGCTGATCGTTTTAACACATTTTTAACAATGAATGGTCTTAAACACTGGAGTTAATGTGTAATGCTGCTAATTCACTCTTTAACCCTGGAGCCTGGCGCACAGACTGCTGGTCACCATAGCAATGCAGACAATAGTCTCGCAGAGCTATCAGCAAATGAAACGGCAGAGAGAAAGATTTAAGATGAACATTGATAATTTGGAGACAAATGGACTTATTTGCATTTATAAGCACTCCAGCTGGTTTCCTGATATGTTTAATCTGCAAGGAGAAACTGCCAAACACTAAAAAGTTGGCTTTTTGTTTGCCAGCTTCTTGTTCAAATTCCACCTTAAATGGTGCAGTAGTTACATTCTGACGCCGCAGGCACCATTTAAGGTGGAACGGGAAAATTCAAACAAGCAGCTGGCGAATGAGGAGCAGACTTCAGCTTTGTAAAAAATTAAACATAGAGTGACATTTTAATAGAAACTACTTTACTTTTGTGGAAAAGTTTCCTGCTGGAGATGTGAGAAAAAGCTATAGCTGAGCTAAAGCTTAAAGCAGAGCAAAATAAGTCTACTCGTTTGTTTATATTGTACTTTTAGCCTGTCTAGTACTAGACATTAGCACATCTTGAAACATACTTACAGCCAAGACGGTAAATTGGACATAAAATGTTGTGGCTCCCAAGATGGTTTGATTTTTGTTAAAAGAATAAAATGGGTCTTCTTAACATTTGGGTTGGGACCCCTGCACTAGACAAATCCTTGATCGGAAACCACAAGAACAGTTTAAGCGTCAAACAGAGAAAATTAAATAGTCTCGAATGTTTTAATTATTTTTGAACCCTTGTGGGCAGAAGTTTTGAAACAGTTTGGAACACTCATTCTCTGCATTAGATTTAGGATTTACCACAGTTACTTGTACTACTTCTGCTTTTGAATACCATAATATTGATTACATGTCTATTATTCATGTATAAGAGAGAAAGACACATTTATAGTTAAATTTTTTGGCATTGGAACCCTATTTTGGCCTCAACCCTAATCACTTTTTAGGACAAAGTTTAACAGCGGGTGAAGGATGCAGATACATATAAGTTTAGTAGTAAAGTGCATTTTAATGTTTATAAGGGTACATTTGTATTTGTAGTTTGGTTCCATTGGTCCAGACCAAAGCCGACAATGATATGTTGCATTTATGTTCTAGTTTTGCTTAGCATTCAGACTGACACATTTGACACTGAAGGGAAAGCTGTAAACAAAAGTTATTACAGATAAAGCCCAAGATTTGAGAATCTATTTATTCAAGAGCATCTGAACAGCTTGGAACTGATGTTAACAGCCAGGATAAAGAGGAGAATGTCAATGAGGAAGTAAACACATCTTTAACTTCTCTTGAATAAGAATTTGAATAAGAATCAATTTGTATAAGAAGCCGACATGAACTTGATCAGAAGTTCAAAGTCTAGCAGTTCGCTCAAAGAATAAAAATAGTCTGCCCCAAAAAATCACTGTCAACACAGATTTAGAATTGTTTCTTTGTTAGCACTAGTTGCTGTGACGTCTTTGATTAGCAATACAATAAAGCTCCAGCTGCAGCTCTTTTTTCTCCTAGCCATAATTGCGTCAAACTTTGCGAGGTTCGTTGTTCTTCTTCATTGATCTGAAGACAAATTGTGAAGCACCTTACTTTCATGTTTTAAATGACCAGCAGGCTAACTCAATGTGTTTTTACCTGTTTTGTCACTATTTACTCTTAACAGCATTGGAGGACCATTCCTAGAAAACCACATAAGAATACAGTCTCTTAAGGTAGGCCAGGTAGGTTTCGAGAACTATCAACTTTGGCAGTAAAGGGCCATTTGACTGATATGGAAAACAACCAATCACAGACCCAGTAGTAATTAAAATAAAGCAACATTTCCCATCAGTCTGATATGCAAAGAAGTTCAGAAAGCCAAAGACTATTTACAGCTTCATCATTCTACTCTGTTTTAGTGTACAGTTTATATCAAATGACTAGTCAGCTAATAAAAATGAATTGTAGTGCTGTCCTTCTTCGTTCTCTGTTTAGTCAATATTAACATCTTTGACCTGTATTACATTCATAAATCAAATGAGTTTGTTTGAAACAGACTGAGACTGACCTCCTTTGGAGCAATTGCACCAGGGCTTGTTTTTTAATCTCCGAATGACAGATAGTAGATAAATTAAACTAGATTTTGAATGCATTCACTTGCCAAAATGTCCTTTATCAAAGTGTCCATGTGTGCACACATCTTTGTATTTGAGAGAGAGAGAGAGAGAGAGAGAGTGAGGAGGGGATTTACACTCCTCCCCCTACATCCTCACTCTGTATCTTCACAGTGAGCACTGGAGCTGATCTCTGTGTTTCATCGAGCAGAGAACAGAGAGGAAGGAGGAATTTATACTGAGCACTTCAACTGTTCTGCTATGCTTCTGTCTAAACAGTGTGTTGGCAACCAAATTATATATTTTCAATCTTTCTTTCTCTTTTTCTTTCTTTCCACAGGCCTACATCTCATTTACTTCTGTCCTTAATACTGTTGTACTTGTACTGTGTTGTAAAAATTGATTTCTTCTATTTTCACACGTTTGTCATGCTTAATGATAGACCTGTATGAGAAAGTAATTGCCCCCTTAGTTATTTAATCAACTAATTCAATTTAATTTAATCAACAATCAGGACCAATTAGACACGCAAAGGCTTTGTTTCCTGCTAGCCCTGTTGAATCTAATCATCTCTTAAATACACCTCAACATGCACACTATGCTGCGATCAAAAGAAAATCCAGAAGAGATGAGAAAGAAAAGTAATTGAAATATCATTACATCTGGCACAAAGCTATCAGAGCATTCCACAATTTAGAACATCACACCAGCAGTGAAACACGGTGGTGGTGGTGCCATGGTGAGATGCTGCTTTGCTGTTTCAGGGCTTCACATCTACATGTTTACTTAGAGTTTTGGGGGGATTTTTCAGCCATGCTAACTTCTGTTTTATCCACAACAACACGCTTGTTGTCCATCAGACAATGTTGACAAGTGCAGCACTGCCCCCTATTTTGGGCTGCTCCTTCAGGAGGCACTGGATTTGACAATTAGTTTGTTTTCACTCACATTTAGCCCAAAGTTTCTCCCTGATGTTCTCATTAGGAGCCCACATCCGGCTGCATGAGACCAGCTTAATGGCCACTTGTGATGCCATGTGCAGTTTGTATTAGCCATCCTCTAGCACTGTATTTCTGACCACAGAGCTGCTCTCAGGTCAATTTTTTTTTTCGACAATGACGTGCGTAAAAACCAAGCAACACTGCTGTGTCTTACACCTGTACCAGCTCCACAATCTACCATGTCACTGCTGTGCTGATAGTGATCCACCACATGGAAGTAGTAGTAGTAATTACTACTAGTAT